ACATTGATATTGTTTTCAACTTATGAATAGTACTATGAGCATTATTTTAGAAATCTTTTTTGGGTGTATGTTTTTTTTTTTTTTTCTTTTTGACTGTTATTGTATACTAATAATCATTGTGGCAAGGAGGCATAGAAATGGATCTTTTCTAAATGAGCACATGTAGGGGTGAGAGTATGTGTGTGGCAGACAGGGCAGGAAAGCTTAGTGCTTTCTGCATGTAGTATACTAGTTTAAGTATTTTAAATGTTTTCATTTATTTAATTCTTATAACAATCCTACTGGGGAGGATTTTTGATATTTCCATTTTACAGGTGAGAAAATTGAAACAGAGGCCTTAAAGCTAGTAAGTGGTAAAGCTGGGATTCAAATGAGGGAATTTGGTTCAGAGCCTGTGTTCTTAGTCACTGTGCTGTGCTGTAAGTGACTGTAGTTATTTTGGGGGCATAAACAACTCGGCTGGTTGTTACACCAGTATGTAGGTACCTAATGGTGAGTCAGAATGCAGAAGTCCTCCAGTAATGGTTCTGGTAAAAGCTTAGGCCATAAAGAAAGGTTATTTCTGAAGTTTCCTGAAAGAGCTGACATTTGAGCTGAATTTTGAAGGGTACCTGGATTTTCATAGGCAGGGAAATTATGGGCAAGGGTACGGAGGCACACAGTGATGCATTTGTTGAGGGGGTGGAAAGTTGCCTGTTATGACTCAGGGTTTTGGTACATGGAAGGGTGAATTTAGAGAGAAATGGATCTTGGGAAATGGGAACCTTGAATATAAGCTCAGGATCTTGAGCCCTATATTAAATGGGAATCCAGTTTAAGAATTGGAATGAAATGATCTGAATGATGTTTTAGGAAGACAGTTCTGGTGACAGTGTGACAGGACAGGTTGGGGTAAGAAATGGAGGCAAGGGAACAGAAAGGTGCTGCAGGTGTCTGGCTTGTGGAGGGTAAGGTTCTGAACAAGAATTGTGTTGGGAGAATAAAAAGGAGGGGTTGAAAACGGGGTCAGGGGCGCCTGGGTGGCTTAGTCACTTAAGCGTCCGACTTTCGCTTAGGTCATGATCTCGCGGTTCACGGGTTCGGGCCCCGCGTCGGGCTCTGTGCTGACTGCCAGCTCAGAGCCTGGGGCCTGTTTCAGTCTGTGATTCCCTCTCTCTCTCTGACCCTCCCCTGCTCACGCTGTCTCTCTCTCTCTCTCCTAGAAATAAATAAAAAAAAAAACATTAAAAAAAATATATATATATATTTAAAAAAAAAAACGGGGTCAAATGGGGGAGACAGAAAGGAATTAAAAGTAACTGTGATATGCTCATTTATTTTTGCTTCTCCATTTCTCCTTCTCTACCCCCCCCATCGGTTTTTTCATTCATCAAAAATGAATTCTAAATCTGAGAATGCCTTTGCTATCAGAAACCTGAAGACAGTTGGCACTAGTGGGAGTGTGTTTTTTCACATATCAGAAGGCCTGAGCATAAACAGTCATTAAGGGCCCGTTTCCATGTAGCTTCTTGTCCCCCCACATCGTTACCACACTGCCTTTCACCCTCACAACTATAAGTTGGCCTCCAAGAATTACGTCTTCATTCTAGACAGGAGGAAAGACCAAAGGCAAGGACAAAAGGTATATTCCTTTTTGTAAAGAAAATAACATCTCTCCTAGAAGGTTCCATTTTATAGATTTCCATGTATAGTGTATCATAGTGACTGAACTTTGTCACCTGGCCCCCTCCTAGATGAAACGGGGTCTGGGAAAAGCTAATTAGAAAAACCCCTTTAATCGAAATATATCACAATATAAAACTTGTATACAGAAAAGTATGATGTACTTTTACATACAGCTTTCTGAATGCTTACAAACCAAGTCACTTTTGTAGCCAATGCTCCCAGTCAAGAAACAGAAATTACCAGTGTCTCACTCCGAAGGATAACTACTATCCTGACATCTAGGTTAATTTTCCCTGTTTTTGAGCTTTATGTAAATGGAATACAAATGAGTACTCTTTTGTCTGTCTTCTTTTGCTCAGTGCTTCATGAGATTCATCTGTATTATTGTGGTTGTAAGTCATTCTCGTTGATGTCTAGTATTCTGTTGGTGAACAGACTGCAGTTTTTCCATTTGGTTATTGATAGGCATCAACAACAGCTTCACATTTGGGGCTGTTTTGAATAAGATTGCTATAAACTTTTTAGTTTCTCTTTTGCTGAACATACATACACATTTCCATTGAGTCTATACTTGGTAATGAAACTGCTGTTTCAGGTTGTGTACATGTATTTAGTTTTAGTAAATACCGACAGATAGTTTTCCAAAGTGGACTCAATCCATATCCTTACCAATACTTGGTGTTTTCCATAGTTTAAATTTTAGCCATTCTGGTGGATGTTTGGTGGTGTCTCATGTTGCTTTAATTTGTACTTGGGAAGGTGAATATTGTTACTCTGAACAAAAGTGGGGCCTGGTAAAAAGAAAAAAGGAAGATTAGATATTATGTGGTAGCCAGTATTTATTGTTTACCTGAAGCTAGTCATACTTTGAAGTATTGCACATGTATTGATTTATTACTCTTCACAACTACCCTGTGTGATAGTGAGTTCAGCTCTTAACCGCATTTTACATATTAGGAAGCAGAAGCACAGAAGGTTAGGTAACTGGCCCAAGGTCATACTGCCAGTAATGGCAGAGATAAGTCTTGGGCCCAAGCTGTCTGGTTTCATAGCCTGTGCTCTTAGCTACTGGATCCCATAGAAGGCTCTGCTACATAAGCTTGCATTTGACATTCTTACTTGTAAGTCTGTCTTTTATTTTAGTCTCCTTTCTCTTAGGTTGATGATCATTATTAATGTATATTGAGTATGTGCTACATTGTAAGCACTTACAATGTAATAATTTAACGCATTAATCGTTGTGGCATCCATATGAAGTGGGCGGCATCATCATCATCATCATCATATAATAACTTTTTTATTTTATTTTATTTTTATTTTTTTATTTTTTATTTCTAGGAGAGAGAGAGTGTGAGCAGGGGAGGGTCAGAGAGAGAGGGAGTCACAGACTGAAACAGGCTCCAGGCTCTGAGCTAGCTGTCAGCATAGAGCCCGACGCGGGGCTCGAACCCATGAACCGCGAGATCATGACCTAAGCGAAAGTCGGACACTTAACCGACTAAGCCACCCAGGCGCCCCATATAATGACTTTTATCATCCCCATTTTACAGAGGAAGAAATAAGACTAGTGAAGTTAAGTGATTTGGTCAAGGTCATGTAGAACATAATGTGGGAACGAGGATTTGAATTTAGGCACCCTAATTTGAACAGTCCAAAGGAATCCCTACACTCAGACATGTTACTTCGAAAGCAGTGAGGTCTCAGTTGCTAGGCTTATCAGCTTCTGCAAAGACATGCCTTTGACATTGTTCATTAGCTACTGGCTGGCCCTAAAACAGCCACTGTTCCTAGTGTTATTCAGATTTGCTTCATTTGTTTATCCTAGGGCAGTTCACTGTATGTGTGAAGTGAAAAGCACTTTTTGCATAGGTCAGAAGTGGCTGGTCATGGAGTATCAGTAAAGCAGTACTTAAAAGGTTTTGAGTATGAGGGTCTCCCCTCTCCCTTAAGACTTTCTCCACCCGCCACCCCCCTTAAAGGTAAAACTTGCACGTTATGAAAAAAGAGTGTTTGTGTAAATGTATGTACTGTATGTATATGGAAAAGTACCTGTAATTGCTTTAAATCAAGATGAGTTCACAGTATGCATGTTATTTTCTAACTTGTTTTTTTCCACTTAATAGTATGTCTTCAGCCTCTTTTCACATATTATAATATACATAATATATACTTAAGTGGTGTACATTTGGGTTGTTTCCAGTTGTTACTATTAGAAACAACCTGTGATCAATCTCTGTGCATATGAAGGGGGAGGGACATGTTATCTCCTCTTACTCCCACCTTGCCTAATACTGTTACTCAGTCTCTAGCATCCATGAGGTAAGTATTCCTGGTTCCATTTTTAAAAATTGTATACTCAAGAGAATATCTTTGTTTTCTTGTAATTTTTTCCCACACATGACCTCAGTCTTCCCTGAGCATTCATTCCTGGCCTTGCTGAGATCTTGCAGGTGACCCTGTGGCACACTAATGAGAATGAGTTCCTACGAAGCACCTGTTAAACACTGACTGCTGTCCCCTGAACAAAACAGTGCAGTTTAGAGCAGTTTGTTGAATTACATTATTTTTCATTGTTGTTATTCAAGTTAATACATTCAAATTAAGAGAATGGCTCATGCTTATTACTGTTTTTAACATCAGACTTACTGATCTGTGCAGGGGTTCTAGCTCAGGTTTTTCAGTCATCTTCCATGACTTTTTAATGCTTATTTTTATTCTCAGTAGACAGAATGGTAATTAGCCCGAGCTGGATGTCACCTGTCAACCCTGCCTGGCATTCTCTTAGTGGATAAAGTGGGCTTGCTAAGCTTTCCCCTCCCCCTTACCCCATTCCCCTCTTTTGTGAAAGAGGGCAGCCAGGAGTGAGCACCTCCTTAGAGACTCAAGGTAAAGCCCACTTGATTTTAGCCACACACTTCACAACTTATATACCCCCATTTTAGGCACAGGGTATATATACTGGTGATACAGATATCACTGCTTCTAAGGATCTTCTAGTAGCGTGGACCCCTGTTCACAGCACACCTGAGAGGTCAGCTGGGAAGGTATGACATCCTTCTTTTTTACAGATGTGCAAACTGAAGGGAAGTGACTTAGTGAAGGTTGTTCCACTGCTTGGTGACGGACCTGGGACCTGTACCTCAGCCCTCTGAGTCTAGTGCTTTTTCAGAAATAACCAGGTGTCTTTTGTTTTTCAGAAAGCAATGTATTATGTAAAATGTCAGGAATGTAAATTGAATTTGTTAGAGCTTTTAACAGATTATTGGTGGTGATAGGGAATACCAGAAGCCTAAATGTGCATTTTAACCACACATTTTGTTGGGTTTTGGTTGCAGTCAGGTGACACGCAGTCTTTCACACAGAAGCTCCAGCTCCGGGTACCTTCTGTGGAGTCTTTGTTTCGAAGTCCACTGAAGGAATCTCTATTCAGATCTTCTTCTAAAGAGTCTTTGGTACGAACATCTTCCAGAGAGTCCCTGAATCGATTTGACCTTGACTTTTCTGCGGCCACCTTTGATCCATCCTCTGATATGGAGAGTGAGCCGGAAGACTCACTCACTAATTTAGACAGTCTCAACAAAGAACAGTTGATTCAATGCTTGCGAAGAATGGAACGAAGGTTGAGTAGCTACAAAGGAAAATGTTCAGAGGTAGGAGCATAATTTTTTTTTTTTTTTTTTTTTTTGCCAATATGAAAAATTTTCCCCTTGTTCTCTGGTTCATGTTATTGTATGGCTTTTATTCTTATGGTTGGCTAAACTATCAATTCCCCATATATGCTGATTAATCCTAAGGGTATTAGTTGCCTCCCTGTCCTGTGCAGTTAAAACTATTCTTCCTTGGGAAAGCTTTTCTGGAGTGATTTGCCCATGGATTTTTTTTTTTAAAGACAGTGCATAATGTTTTATTGTCTTAACAGTTTGTTAACTCAGCATTATAGTTAGGTACTACACATTATTGATTTATTACTCTTCTGTACCACCTCAAGTAGAGTCGTGCAGCTTATAAGGCATGAAAAGAACACATAGTCTTCATGTCTGTCTTTCCTTGCCATTGTAGGTGACCAGGATAAGATAGTGCTGTAAGTGACATCTCATTGTGGGGTTACTCTGCCTGTTCTATTCCCTGCTTGTTGACCACCATTTTCCTGTCCGGTAATAAGAATACCTATTTTAAGGTGGTAAGAGATGATTGTGGTCTTAGGCAGATTTTTTATTTTATTTTACCTTTTTATTTTATTTTTTAATTATTTTATTTTTGAGACAGAGAAAGAGCATGCGTGGGGGAGGGGCAGAGAGAGGGAGACAGAATCTGAAACAGGCTCCAGGCTCTGAGCTGTCAGCACAGAACCTGATGTGGGGCTCGAACCCACGAACCATGAGATCGTGACCTGAGCCGAAGTTGGAGGCTTAACCAACTGAGCCACCCAGGCGCCCCTTATTTTACCTTTTTTAATTCTTTATTGCTGGACTCACCTTCCATGACTGCCTGCCTCTCAAAATCAAGGCATCAGTAGATGCGTTTGGAGGCACACAATTGCAGGGCTCAGAATAGGGGAGTGTTTCCTCTTAAAGCTGCAGCCTATCTCTTCAGAGCCCTCTTGTACTTCTGAAGTAGGGTCCAAATAATACATTGGAGCCATGTGCTTATTCTTCAGATAATAGAGCTGTGTAATCCATAGGTTTAAAAGATTTGTTCGTCTATAATTTCATCAGGTTGTGCTAGAATGTTTAAATATCCTATTTAATTAGGTTAAATGGCTAAACATCTCTTTAGGACCTAAATTAACAGTTTTGATCTCTTGGTTATGAATCCCTTTCTTCAGATTTTTACCCATCCATAGTCACAATTCCTATAATCAGAGACTTTTAGAGATGAGTTACATGGTCTATAATAGTCCAAAGCAAAAAATCACCCGGTGAGCTTGCTAAATAAATACATATCCCTCCCTCCACTCCCCATCTCCCACTTCATTCAGTTAGTTTGGGGTGGGACCCAAAAATCTTGTCTTCCTAGCAACCTCCCAGGGGATGCTGTTGCTGATGGTACTGGCTTCTGGCTACCATTTGATGAGCTTCGTGCCTTTAGGCAAGTTGGTTTTGATCTGTACCCCATTCATAATTAGGTACTGAAATTTAAAGATGTATGTGCCTGAGGTGAAATTAAGTACTGATTTAATATCTTTATAGTGTCAAGTTATATTTTAGTTTTTAGAAATATATTTCCTTTTTTAGCCTTGACTGTGCAGTATACACATCTAATTAGGTTGAATTATCTATAAAAGGATTCTTCTAATTTGTGTGTTTTTGACTTTCATAAAGAGATGCTTTAGCAGTCTTTAAAATAATTCATTTATTTAGGAATGAACTGATAATATTGGTGACTCTTTCTGTCTTTTAGTTTGTTATAGCTTATCAGACTCTTCAGAGAGAGAAGAAGAAGCTCCAAGTAAGTGATATCTTGGTTGTGATATTGATTCATATAGTATTTAAAAATTAGAGTCTTATAGTAAGATAGTTCTGACCCTCACTTTTAGTAATTCCACATGTGATCCAAGTATTTAATCCATTTTACTACTGAAGGTTTTTTTTAAGTTTATTTATTTATTTTGAGAGAGAAAGAGAGCACAAGCAGGGTAGGGGCAGAGAGAGGGAGAGAGAATCATTCTCCAGGGCTTGGACTCACGAACCACGAGATCATGACCTGAGCTGAAACCAAGAGTCGGACACCTCACCAACTGAGCCACCGAGGCACCCCGTTGTTTTAATAAAGGGAGTGAATGAGAAATTCCGGAGATTTTCCCTCTGGTAGGGATGGACTTTTTTGAATTTTGGATCCCCTGCGGTGTTTAAGAGGTTCAGATTTAAGGCCTGTTTGCCTCTTTCGAACACGCTTTCTAGTGTCTCAGTTGGCAGGTTGCATCTTTGTTTCAGTGGTAGGGACATACAGCTTTCTAAGCTTACCCTTCTATTTTTGACGTATCTGCAGACATCTCTGTTCCTTATCATTATATCAGTGTCCAAATGCAAGCATCTTCTCTGTTTTTTTCTGAGGCTGCTGCCTGTAAAGCTCTTGGTTAAGTATGTGGAGAGAGAAAGCTCTTCTGGGTGACCCACCTCAGCCCTACTGTGTCACCCTGTTCTGTGGCTAGACATTTCTCACCAGGTATCCCAGGTGATAATTCACAGGTCAGAGCTAAGGGGAGTATCTATTCCACTTCAAACGGGACCATCAGTTTGCTGTGATAAAATATATAAATATTTATTATTTGGAATCATGCTGTATTAATTTCTGCTTCTGTCCTGCCTTGAGAAGGATGGGGAATATCAGCTTATTTTTGTTAGGGGATTGCATTTTTTAATCTCTGCTGTATCACTTATGATAAACATTTTAGCATCTTTTAATGGTAAAATATAACATATAGAAAGTCCTGCACAAAAAATATAGTCTTACTTTTTTACAATAAAAGTTATTAACAGTTTAACATTTTGTTCCCTCTAAAGACACCAATTTCCCCCTGTGCAGTATTGTAAAATATTTAATCTGCCATAAATAATAATCTCCATTAAGTACAGCATTAAGTTTTCTGGCTTTAATCTGGAGTATAATCCATTCAGAATGATAATGCCAGTTATTTATTGTTGACTCAGTGTTCTCATTGTCTATAACAAATGTGGAAATCAGGTTATTACAAATAAAGTTTTTAGTTTGTTAATGTTTTCTTGAACATGGGGTCTTTTGAAATGAGGGGTAGCTCTGATTTAATACATTGTATTGTTAATATTTCATAAATTCATACTCAGAAATTCATCTTATTCCTACAGTCTGGGGGTACCTTTTTTGTGTATCTATGAATTGTCTATTGATTTTTATTTCTAGATGTATGTAATTCTGCCACTAAGTGGCGGTAGAGAACTGTGGTTCCATAGTCCCAATGTAAAGGATGTTAAAGTTCAATAATTTGCATTCTTTTTCTATTTGTTTTTCATTAGTACACCATGCAGTTATTTGAACCAACTTTTTTTTTTCTTTTTAAATTAAAGGGTATATTAAGTCAGAGTCAAGATAAGGCACTTCGGAGAATTGGAGAGTTAAGAGAGGTAAGCTGTAAGGGTTAGTACTTTGAGAATAGTCATTAAATCTCTCATATATATCAGAACTCTTGTACTTGTTGGGAGAGTTTCACATACCCTTCCTTAGTTCCAGTAAAAATTAAACAGCCCAGCCTATAAGATCAGGGGCCAGTTCTTAAAGTCTTTATTTGTGTGGATTCCCTAAGATATATACTGTTTGTGGAATTAATGACATAAGAATATCTTATTTAGGGGCACCTGGGTGGCTCAGTTGGTTAAGCATCTGACTCTTGGTTTTGGCTCAGGTCATGATCTCACGGTTCATGTGTTGGATCCCTGCTCTAGCCAGTCCGGCTCCGTGCTGACAGTGAGGAGCCTGCCTGGGATTCTCTTTCCCTCTCTGCCTCTCCCCTGTGCATGTGTACACACACATACCCACACCCCCCTCTCGAAAATAAATAAACTTAAGAAAAAAGGAATATCGTTGTGTATGGTGAACACATTATAACCACCACCAAGGTCAGGAAATAGAATGTTCTTAGTCACCCAACCCAGTCATAATCCCGTCCCTTTCTCCAAAAATAACTACTGACTTTTGTTGCACTTCCTTGTGTCTCTTTAAGCTTTATTATTTTTTTTTTTATGTTTCTTTATTTTGAGAGAGAGACAGAGAGAGAGAGAGACAGAGAGAGAATCCTAAGCAGGCTCCACACTGGCAGCATGGAGTCTGAGGCAGAGCTGAAACCCATGAACCGTGAGATCATGACCTGAGCCCAAACCAAGAGTCCAACACTTAACTGACTGAGCCCATGTACCCCTAAGGTTTTATCTCGTAAGTGTGCACCTCTAGACACTACAGCCTTGCCTGTGTAAAAATTGTTTTGATGTATCTTAAAAAGTCTTCTTAAATCTACACATCACCCCTGCATTCCTTTTTTTCCTTACAGTTCATCTGTTGAAGAACCTGATAATAAATGAAAAGACCCAAAATCATGTATTGGCCTTATTCCAGCATTATAAACACAGCAGTCTTAGAATAACAAGACTAATACTACCACCATCAATTATAATTAATGAAATTAGTTAAATAAATTTTTATATACTATTCCATTTTTTCCACCATTTAAAAATCTTTTTCATATCTATACTCTTAGATCATAAGCCATTACATTTCCCTTTTAATCCTTGTGAAAATGAAAACCCTCTTAGGAAATACTTGTCAGAGCCACAGATTGACAAATTTTAGTTATTTTTAGTATCTGCCTACTTGTATTAGTTTTTTATTGCTGCTGCAACAAATCACACAACCTTAGTGGCTTAAAACAACACAAATCTCAGAAATTTGACACAAGTCTTACCAAGCTAAAATCAAGGTGTCGGTTGGGCTGTTCCTTCATGACGGTTCTAGGGGACAATCTGTTTCTTTGCCATTTCCAGCGGTTGTGGCTGCTACATCCTTTGGTCCTTTCACGTAGCAAAGCCTCTTGCCTCCATGTTCAGAGCTATCAATGTTGCATCTCTGCCCATTCTACCATAATCACTTCTCCCCTTCTCTCTGAACGCAGTTGGGAAAGGTACTGATTTTAAGAACCCATGTGTTTAGATTGGGCCCACCCACATAATCCAGGATAAACTTATTTCAGAGCTCTTAACTTAATCACATCTGCAAATTCTCCTGATATATTCCAGGTTCAGGAATTAGGACTTGGGATCTATGGGGCCGTATTCTGCCTACCACACTGCCTGGTCAAGACTGTAATCTGTGAAATGGCCAGGGGACAGCTGGGCCAAGGGAAAAGAGGAGGAACAAGGAGTCCAGGGGCCACATAGTAAATTGCTGTTTGGTAAATAGCTATACTATTTTTTTTAGCAGCTAAGATCTATTTCTGAACTATAACCCTGGTTCTAGTTACATGAAGAGAGATTTATTCAGTAATTTATATGTGAATACTAAATGGATAAGTGAGGGCTGGGTATTTTAAACTTTGTTCACAAAGAACAAAATATTTCCTTTCATCCATAAAATCATGATTAGTATTTAATTAAACATTCAAAGTGGTATAAGTCATAAAATATTTTGTTTCTTTGGAATTAAAATCTGAAGAGAAGTTACACACAGGTTTATTAGTACTTTATTGATTTAGACCAGGCAAAACAGTGTAATTTGCTTTATTTTGTTATAGGAAGATATTCAGGGTATCAGGAAGGATGTTGGGTTTGAGGCTAGTATTGAGGAGAAGAACTACCATGACTTCCAATGCTTTGACGAAACCTCAAACGCAATGCCTTCTGGCTAAGCATCTGCGGTTTCATATTGGAGCATTCGCAGTGTCCCTGCGGGTTGCAGCTTTCTGTAAGTTTTCTGTGGCTGAACCAAGAAAGAAGACATATGCAGATTTCTATAGAAATTTATGATTCCACAAAAGATTTTGAACAGATGAAGAAGGCTGGTATCTTTCAGGGTGTAAAATGATTTTGGAATATAAGGAATCTCTTTGGGTTGAGTTCCATGGAAGTTTGTCACTGATCTGTGTTTCTCAGTTATGGAACATGAATACTCGGTTATGGAATAGTTTCTCTTGATAACTAAACAGCTAACAAATACTGTGGACAATCATAAAAAGAAGATATTCAGTAAACATTGCTGACTTAGTATTTTATTTCTTCCTCATGTTGTTACGAATATACACATGAGTAGAATCCATGAAGATCTCTCCTAACATTTTTCGGAGGACAAAACAAAACAGCATTTGTATATATATGTCTGTACATATATGTGTGTGTGTGTGTGTATGTGTATATATCTGTCTTATGTTCATGTCTAGCATATTAGGTATTTGTTAATGAATCAGGTAAAGAAGTAAAAAGGTAAGCAAAACCATTCCCAACAGATAGCATCTAATTTTCTTTGCCTGATCTTGAATCTTGTAACATCAACAGATATTAAATAGGAATATCATTTTATGAGAAAGGTAATAAAATTATGAAAATTATGAGTTCATCCATACTTGATAGGGTTCTAATTCCCTTTTAAGGTCATGTAAATGGGGAATAAATGAAGACACTGTCTTAGATATTTCCTCCTTTCTCTGTCCTTCAGTCTGTGCATGGCATATACTTCTTCCAGGCTCACCCAGATGCTGTTCATTATACGTAACTACTGTTCTCAAAGCTGACTTTAGGGAGGAGTTCATTTTTTGCAGCTTGAAATCACATCTGAACATAATGGGTAGCAAAGGGCAGAGATAAAAAATAGTGAAATAGTTAATGTATTTGATACATTCTACTCATCAGGATTTCTAAGGATATAATCAGAAAGACCTTGCAAATCATATGCATAAAAATTTTAATTTCACAATTTGCCAAAATTTGGAAACAGTCCAAATGGCCAACAATAGGAACATTATTGAATTAGTTTGTTATATTATAGAGCCGTTTATTATTATTGTGCTAAAAAGTTCTAATAGTGGGGCGCCTGGGTGGCTTAGTCAGTTAAGCGTCCGACTTTCGCTTAGGTCATGATCTCGTGGTTTGTGGGTTCGAGCCCCGCGTCGGGCTCTGTGCTGACTGCCAGCTCAGAGCCTGGAGCCTATTTCAGAGTCTGTATCTCCCTCTCTCTCTGACCCTCCCCTGCTCACGCTGTCTCTCTCTCTCTCTCCGAGAAATAAATAAAAATATTTTTAAAAAAAAGTTCTAATAGTATAGATATATCCTGAAGGTCTAATCAAAATAAATTTAAAAAAAATTTTTAATGTTTATTTATTTTTGAGAGAGAGCGAGAGAGAGATAGAGCACAAGTCAGGGAGGGGCAGAGAGAGAGGGAGACACAGAATCTGAAGCAAGCTCTAAGCTCTGAGCTGTCAGCACAGAACCCAATGCAGGACTCAAACTCACCAGCCATGAGATGATGACATGAGCCAAAGTCGGACATTTAATGAACTGAGCCACCCAGGTTCTCCAGAAGAAATTTTTAAAGTAGGAAATGACCCCCGATTCTAGGGTCCAGTTCTACAGCTAGCAAGATCCCTGTCATGGGAATATTGGACAAATGGCTAGTCGGCCTGTGCACTGTTATCAGGATATAAGTAGACAGTTCTTAAGTTGTTTTTTTTTTTTTTTTTTAACCATAGTCTATATAGTTTATGGAGTACTTATTAGTAGAATAGGATAAGGTGACAAGGGGAAGGAGTAGAGTATATGATTAAAAGATGGTGTTGTTGTATCCAGGGACTTCTTATCTAGATGGAGAGATGAAAACATTTAAAACCTGAAAATCATTGTATATATTGAAGAATTTTGGGACACCTGGGTGGTTCAGTTGGTTAAGCGTCTGACTCTTGATTTCACCTCAGGTCATGATCTCATGGTTGTGGGATCAAGCCCTATGTCAGGCTCTGCACTGACTGTGAAGCCTCCTTAAGATTATCTTTCTCCCTCTTCCCTTCTGTGCCTCCCCATTGCACGTGTGCACTCTCACTCTCTCAAAAAAAAAAAAAAAAAATTGAGGAATTTTTGCTGGCTGTTAGAGATGGCATCTAATAGTCTAGTATGGTAGGACATACAAAATTATTTGGAAGAAATGAATTTTAAGGAAAGTAAAGGATCATAAAGGATTGGCCTGTGCAGAGTCATGCAGGGCAGTGCTTTCCAGACCTACTGGCTTTCATGGACTGAAAAATTACCTTCTAGTTCCTTCCAGATACGAGGCAAAGGAGAATTGTCATAGAGCTGCAAATTTTCATTCTTTCAAGTAAGATATTGAGAATAAGGAACCAGATTCTTTTATTGTTAAAATATTTTATTGTTAAAATAATTCTTTTATTATTTATTCTTATTATTTCATGAAAGAAAGTTGTTTTTTTTTTTTTTTTTTTAATTTCTAAATAACTTCTACACTCACATCACGACCTGGGGATCAGCTGTCACCTGCTCTTCCAACTGAACCAGCCATGTGCCCTGAAAGATTTAGGAAGGACATATTCTCAGAGTAAAGGACAGTTGTTTACATAAAAGAAAAACTCTCTACATTGGCTTTCTGTTGGTCATTTCACCACGGGTCAGTGAGGACTCCGTTGTGGACCTGTCCTGATTCAAAGACTGGTATTGGGCGACTCCTGCCATGGGAGGGGTCAAGCCAGGAGTCTTTAGTGAGAGGAGCACTGCCTATGGGATCCCAGGGGCGGTGCAGGCGAAGGGAGAACAGAGGACAGTTAGTGCTTCAGTGTTTTGAGAATTAGTACATTTGAAACATTGCAAAAAGAGGGTGTTGCTTGTTTAAGTCTTTGAAAATACTGTTTGAGGAAAATTTTCTATCAAGCGTGTGTGCAAGGGATGGGATTAAGTCAGAGGAAGACTTGAGGTAAGAATTTTCTCTAGAAGGCTACTGAAGGAAATTCGTCATTGACATGATAAGGATTTGGACAGTGGTTATGGATGTGGGAAACGATATGCCTCATATATTATAAAAGCAGTACAAGAATTATAATCTATGCAGGGATTGACAAAGATAGGTAAAATGTGACTGAATATTTTGTCCTCAGGGAATTAGAAAAGTAGGATTCCTAGAAAAATAGATGGGTTTTGATGGGATATTTCATATGTTCCAGAATGTAGTCTTCAGCATCCTAATGGAGTAAGTGTAAGAAAGAAGTAGTGAAGGCACAGGACTGAGCTGAGAGGGGTAGATGCCAACAGAATCTGTGAAGGGGGTAGAGCAAAATAAGAGATGGGTGTAGACAGGAACCTAAAGCCACAGAGAGCAGGTACCTCGGCTAAAGAGGGAATCATTGGTGACCGGTATAACAGAGAGGTAAAGATCATAGGATTTAGTTAGGAAGGCTCATTAATGACCTAAAGAAGGTAGCATTTAAGTAACTCCTGAAACTTGAAATTTTTGTTTGGTGATCAACTAGTTCAACCTTTTCATTTTACAGAAGAGGAAGCTTCTGACTTTGGCTATCCCTTGCTTATGTGTTATGGTGAGGAGGAAAGTTTTATTGGCTATCTGTTTGGTAGAAAACAATATAGTTTTAGATTAGGTGCATTAAGATAGCACATGGAGTAAGATGTCTTAAAGTCGGATCAAGATTTTTTATCTTAAATAATTATTTATCCTTTCCTTTATCATCATCATAGAGCAGTCATCACAGCTCTAAAAATACACTCTCTTCTTGGATCTTCATGGTTTGTAAGGAACAAAATTATCTGCTGGGATAAATACTAATGTTTTACATGCTGATTCTTCTCTTATTATTGTTGCTGATACGATATTGTAAGAGAAATGCAAATCTGGATTGATTATGTTTTTAAACTTTGAAAATTTCAAATTTATATTTTTTTGTTTTTTGCTGAAGAATACTTATAAAACTCCTTATGTTTTAGGAGCTACAAATGGATCAGCAAGCAAAAAAACATCTCCAAGAGGAGTTTGATGCATCTTTAGAGGAAAAAGATCAGCATATCAGTGTTCTCCAGACTCAGGTAAAAGATTAAAAGAAAAAGTGTGTATATATAGGAGGATTAGGAGGAACTTAACGGAGGACCATGGGGGAGAAGAAGGGGGGAAATAGTCGGGGAGAGGGAGAGAGGCAAACCATGAGAAACTCTTGAATGCTGAGAACAAACTGAGGACTGATGGGTGTTGGGGGGAAGGGGGAGATGGGCCTGGAGGAGGGCACTTGTGGGGATGAGCACTGGGTGTTATAAGGAAACCAACTTGACAATAAACTATTTGTAAAAAAAAAAAAAAAAGAAAAGAAAAGAAAATAGTTATATTTTCCAAAAGGAAAAAAAAACTAATAAAGATGGGAGATACTAGTATAAAAAAAAAATAACCCAATTAATAAAGAAGAGAGGATAATCCTCAAAAATAATAAAAAAAAATGTGTAATTTTTGGATAAAGAAAAATTAACATTTTTTTTTTTTTTTTTTTGGCAGTCCTAGATTTACAGAATGGCCTTTTTTTTTTTGAGAGAGAGAGAGAGAGAGAGAGTGTGTGTGTGTGTGTGTGTTGGGGGGGTGCATGGGTGAGCTGGGGAGGGGCCGTGAGAGAGAACATCCTAAGCAGCCTCCATGCTCAGCACAGAGCCTCACACAGGGCTTAATTGCAGGACCATGAAATCATGACATGGGATGAAATCATCAGATCCTTAGTCTACTAAGCCATCCAGGTGCCTCAAAATGGCCTTTTTTTTTTTTGAGAGAGAGAGAGAATGAGTGGGGGAGGGGCACAGAGAGAGGGGATACAGAATCCAAACTGGGCTCTGCACTGACAGCAGTGAGCCCATGTGGGTCCTGAACTCATGACCTGAGCTGAAGTCGGATGCTCAACCAACTGAGCCACCCAGGCGCCCCTGGCTTATGTTAGAACTCTTGCTTTTCAGTTTTTGGTTTTTTTTTTTTTTTTCAGTATAATTTACTGTGTCTTTTGGCTAACTATGATATCACTGAAAATAGCAAATAAAAAAATCAACTGCATTTAAGAGTAAACATTTTATTTTGATTCCCCCTTCCCAATATGGTGAAAAAGAATGTCTTTTACTCTGTTGCCTCTCTCTTTTATTTTTTTTTTATTTTTTTTTTATTTTAAATGTTTTTTATTTATTTCTCGGAGAGAGAGAGACAGCGTGAGCAGGGGAGGGTCAGAGAGAGAGGGAGTCACAGACTGAAAGAGGCTCCGGGCTCTGAGCTGGCAGTCAGCACAGAGCCCGATGCGGGGCTCGAACCCATGAACCGCGAGATCATGACCTAAGTGAAAGTCGGACGCTTAACCAACTAAGCCACCCAGGCGCCCCGCCTCTCTCTTTTAAAGAAAGTGCTGTCATTTATCTTTTTTTTTTCCTAACGCACAAATCCTTTTTTAGGTTTCTCTGCTGAAACAGCGGTTACGAAATGGCCCGATGAATGTTGATTTAATGAAACCATTCCCTCAGACGGAAGCAGAGGCTGAAGGTGTCACTAAAGAGAACACAGATAGTGACACAGAGCCAGTAGGTAAGCTTCACTGTGTCAGAAAGTCCGCTTCAAACCTAGAGGAGGGTGTTGAGAGTTTCCAGGGCATGGCATGGGCTGAGGTAGAAGTGTCCTCCTATGATTGCCAGAAAGATGCCTGAGTTTTTGTCATTTTGGTTCTTTGTCATTGCTGTTGAGGAGAATGTAGCTAAGTAATTGTTTTAGGACTTGAAAGTCTGTGAGTGGCACCACGTTTTTGTTGTAATTAAAATTCATTATAGTGCTAACTTCAGCAGCACATATACTAAAATGCATTATGCTGTTTTATTGATAGGAGTAGCTAGATTTCATATAAGCAGATCAGTCCTGTTTAAGATTAATGAATTTGTTATTGTCACTGTTTGGCTATTTAATTATTTTAGTAATACTTTTTAAATATTTCTGTATTCAAAGATATCTTTATTTGCTTTCTAATTAGAAAAGAAGGAATGGGGCGCGTGGGTGGCTTAGTTGGTTAAGCACCCAACTTCAGCTCAGGTCATGATCCCACAGTTCAGCTGTGCTGACAGCTCAGAGCCTGATGCCTGCTTCAGATTCTGTGTCTCTTCTTTCTGCCCCTTTGCCGCTCATGCTCGCTCGCTCTCTCTCTCTCTCTCTCTCTCTCTCTCAAAAATAAACAAAAAAAAAGGAAGAAAGAAAAGAAAGAATAGTAAATTTTGTCTCACAATCCAGTTATCACTCTCTATACTCTCTGAGATTTTAAGACACATATTCAGCAAAATCCCCACTTTTTATTTACTAGCTCTTTCTCACAAAGATATTTATGATAAATTTTTAGTCCAGGCAGAGCCAGGGTAAGGTGCTGAACAGCTGTCTGTGTGAGCAACCAGCCTATAAAGGGTCCTGAAATTCCCCTGTGGGTATGAAAATGTCACTCATTAAGGGTATGGAGAATGTAGAAAGCTCTACTTACTAGAACTCCTCTCAGGAACAGATAAGAATACATTAGAACAAAATTCTTATTAATCCTTTTGGGATGGGAGCCAGGACACAGAAGACACTTTTGAATAACAAAAGATGATCATCAAACTGTCTTTCGAGAAGGTTGGACTCTGGTAAGTTAGTCCACTCCTGGGTGTTTTGTGCCCTTTGGGGTGGGGTTGTACCTCAGGCGAGGTGAATGCGCTACTCGGCTGCTTCAGATACAGGCCATTACAAAACAGTGACAGAACAGGGTTGGGGAGGGCAGGCCTCTCTTCTCCGCCCGGCCCAGAGGCCCGCAGAGCGCTGAGCCTACACCCACGTGTGCTGGCAGGGTAACTTCCCGCAGAGCCCTTCTGGTCCTTACTGACTGCCCTTGCCCGTGCTGCTTTATTGATAGCCGTAGATGGAGCTTCTGCTAAAACACGGGAAGTCCTTCAGCAGAGAGTTAAGCGGCAAGAGAACCTACTGCAGCGCTGTAAGGCAACAATCCAGTCACATAAGGAACGATGTGCACTATTAACCAGTGAAAAAGAAGCCCTGCAAGAACAACTAGATGAAAGGCTTCAGGAGCTAGAAAAGATGAAGGTAACCGCACAAAGAGTTGGGCTTGCTGTAGCCCTGTAACGCAGACCCACAGGCCCCAGCGCGGCCGGCATCGCCCTCTTCTGCACAGCCTTTCCCTAGCTCCATAGCTAGCGTGGAGAGGACTCCCAGCTGCCCTGGGATCCGTAGTTTTACCGTCCTTTTCAGATGTCCTGTGTACTGTTGCTCTTTCTGGACTGAGGTATCCAAATTAGATAAAATTAGATAAAATGTGTAGAGTTTCGTATGAGGAGAAGCTTTCTTAGAGATGGAAATGAATTTTTAAAATTTTTTTAGGAGCTTCATATGGCTGAGAAGACTAAACTTATCACTCAGTTGCGTGATGCAAAGAACTTAATTGAACAGCTTGAACAAGATAAGGTAAACCAATAAACCTTACGATACTAAAATTTGTCAGGGGGCCCCAGAATTCACTTTGGAAGCAGTTAGAAGCATTCAGGCTTATGCTTTCCAAAGTTCTTACAGCAGCTTCCATGAAAAATCTTTTTGTTGTAATTTCGAAATTTAAATAACTGTTAGCATTCATTGTAAATCATGTGAAGCTGATTCTCTGTGTTTTTTTTTTATTCCAGTAAGTATTTTGATTTATAGATTAGCATAACTATTGCCAAATAAATCTATTTATAGTACCTAAGTACTTTTCAGAGAAAAGTTTAATTTTTTATAGGTAAGACATTACTAAAAGTGAATGATACTAAGTATTGTCTTCGTATGTAATGGAAACAGATTAATCTCTCAGATAAGTAAAGAAGTGGCAGTGTATATATTAGTATAAACAGAAGTTTCTGCACACACATTTTAGGGTGCACAGGTGAGATTGGCAGTGTAGAGTTGGAGCAGCAGCTGTGGCTGTGGCAGCAAAAACCACGAAAAATTCCCAGGTGAATGCATTCCATCCGAGTCTTTCAGCTCTGAGTTCTTGGTTTCTTTTTCTAGAGCAGCTCCAAGTTGGTTCCCGTTGTTCACCATTTTCTTCAGTATGCTGCTTTATAGCTATAGTATTTTAAGTGGCCAGGCAATTAAGGACATGTCAGAGCTGTTTACTTTTGAAACGGATTAGCAGTCTTTTCATTTTCTGATGTCATTTTGCCAGATTCTACGCTATACACTTCAGGAAGGCCCCCCTTAAAAAAAGGGAACCCACCACCCAGTTTCAGCAGTTAGCATCTCAAGACTAATCTTGTTTCGTCTGCACATGCCCAGCCCTTATTCTCCTCGACCCAGAATTTACTTTCTTGTAGAGCAAATCTGAGAAGTCTTATCATTTCTTCCTTTAGTATTTTGATGTATATTTAAAACAAAGGACTCTTTCTATTTTTATAAAAACATAGCTACATTTTAATGATCACCATCTAAAAATGTAATAATTCCTTAATACCATCACCTATCTAGTCTCAGATTTTTTTGTCTCATACTTTTTCCCTCTTTTCTGTGAGTCAAGATCTAAATAAGTTTCTTTCATTGCAGTTGGTTGATAAGACTCTTAAGACTTCTTTAATCAGTAGGTCCATTGCCCTCCCTCTCTGTGTCTCTTTTTCTCCATTGTGATTTGGTTTTTGAAGAAACTGAAGGCTGACAGTCTTGTTCTGAAATTTTGTATAATCCCCATTCACCTGGTTTTTATCTGTCCATTTTATTAGCCATCCTGAAGAGTCATACCGTAAACTAAGGTTTGACAAACCCTGCAAGTAAAGTAGTAATCTTGCGATCATGAAATAGCTGTCCCAAAATCTTGTTTTTCAAGAGACAAGTCGAACTACCCTGTTTTTTGTTAGTTGCAAGTGACTGATTCAGTGTATACTATATACCGTATAATATATAATATTGATTCCTTTTCCCCCCAGTGACCTTCATTTCATTTGTAGATTATCCAGAGAGTGGGAAGACAGTAGCAGTTAGCAAATTGGGAGACTAGGGGTGGCACCAGAGACTGTTACAAGAGAAAGGAGAGAAAGCAGGCAGACCTGTACTTGGTCCATCGTCATGGCAACAGTAACCTCCAGCCTCTGAGGCTCTCCCCGAATTCTGGCACAGATCGATAACTATAGTTCATGGTGGCCCTGAGCCAAGCACAAAAGGCTGTATTTTGTTCATTATAAACTATTTACTGAGATAGGGAACATTGTAGCAAACACTTATAGAAAGATTATAAATCTTTTAACTAAAATATGTTTTTAACGCTCAAAAGAATGAACTTACTATTAAAATGCTTTTTCATAGTAACAAATACCCTGATCTGCCAGGAAACCAGAGTATATAGTGCAGCATAGAGCACAGAACACAGACTTCAGTTTGTGAAATACAGAAGGAATTCTTATCCCATACTTAGTAAGAAATCTAAGTAAGTTTTCTGCCTTTTAAGTGGCTTTGATATGTGCTATTGATGGAGCAGTTTTGTTACGCAAACACTTTAGTGTCTGCACTTCTGTTTAGGGAATGGTAATAGCAGAGACCAAACGTCAGATGCATGAAACCCTGGAAATGAAAGAAGAAGAAATTGCTCAACTTCGTAGTCGCATCAAACAGATGACCACTCAGGGAGAGGAGCTTCGGGAACAGAAAGAAAAGTCTGAAAGAGCTGGTAAGAACTCAGGGGTTATTTGTTTTATGCTGGGATTCAAAAGTCATGTAAAGTGATGGACCAAACAACATTTAGAAAAATTAGTTAACTTTTGATATTGATACAGAGATTCTGTACAAGATACTGAACTATTCCTTAGAGGAGGGAGGGGCTGGTCAATTGTGGCCCATGGATGGCTATTTGTAGGACTCGCAAGCTTAGAATGCTTTTTACATTTTTCTGTGGTTAGAAAGAAGCAGCAGCATATGTGACAGAGACCATGCGTGGCCTAAAAAGCCTAAAGTATTTACCATTTGGTCCTTTTGTAGAAACGTTTGCTGAGTTTCTGCCCCCGAGTAGCAGAATTCAGGTTTACAATTTGGAACTCCCCAAGCAGGCACAGCACAGTGCACAGTACATAACTGCTCCCCTACAGATGTTCTGGGGTGAACTGAAAGCTTAAGATAGTGTATAGAAAAAAGTAAAAGATAAGCCTTTTAACATAAGAGAATTATGTTTTGTCACAACCAGCATAGAATTCCACAAGGTACGATACTGGGTAATGTGAGGAACGAGAGGGGAGAGCAGAGTGCATGAGCACTTCAGGTTCATGAGGGTGTGAGTGTTGCGTTGGGCCTCCAGGAAGGAATAGAAGGGGTCTAAGCAGAGAGCTGGGGGCAGCACACATTTCGGTCACTCCAAGGTCAGCAGACTGTTAAGATCTTGAAAGGTGCATAGCTGAGCTTAGACACTCATGTACTAGGTAGCAAGAAACTAGTCATAGGAAAGCATAATGTTATGGCAGCTAATGTTTTGTGTTGAAATGAAATGAAGTGGGAAGTCAGACTTGAAAAAGCAAAGGCAGATCTGGGCTTGAAGGACTGAGAACTTGGGCACTGTGGCTGGGATGGGTCTGGAAAATAGAGGAAGAGTAGAACCTGCTGAATTTGGTGTCTGATCAACTTTCAGGGACAGAAAACCGGTAGAAGTCTAAGATGACTCCAAGGTTTTAAGCTTAGGAGACTGAATGAAAAGTGAGAAGTCAGAATAGGAAATCTAACTGGGGAATTTGAGGAATGGAGTAAAATGATGGGTTTGCTTAGATACTGAATTTTCTCAACCACGAGCGTTCTAAATGAAAGTGACTTGTTGAAATTTGGGAAAAGAAGCTAGGGCATTTTTCAGGAGTCAGGAGCCTAAGGTTGAAGCCTGTGGTTAAATCTGTAGGAAGGCGGCTGATTTGATTAGGTTTGCAGCAGCACTAGTAGTAGTTGCTGTGTATTAGCACACACGCTGCCGCCACTGCTGCTACTGGCCATCATTTAGGTTTTCTTAGGCAAGGCTGTTACAGATGCATTATTTGTCTTTTCTGTGTGAGTACATGTTTCTAATCCCCTCAGTTTCTTTGAAATAGGTACTATTATTCCCGATAGGAAAAACCTAAGATTGTGGAGGTTAAGCCGCTTGCCTACATTCACACACAAGAGAGTAAGTGTATGGTCAGAATTTGAATCCAGTCATTTTGAGTCCAGAGTCTGTGCTCTTAACCACAGAAATCTAGAGTTTGGCAGAGAGAAATAAATGAGAGGGGAAAAAGTTACACAGGGAGTCACAGGAATTGTGGATAGTTGAGCTTTTGGGAGAATCTAGGAACCATTTCCAGAAGTGAGAGAGAGGTAAGTTGAAGATTTTTAAAAAGGTCTTTAGCTTTAGTGAGGATTTGACTCCCAGGATGCAGTTTCAAAAATGATTTTAGAAACCAGATTATAAAATTTAAGGAGGGAAATAAATCTGGATGAGAGAGCTATTTGGTTGATACCAAATGTGCTCATAAATATCTCTTTGAAGTGTTTTATTTGGGGGGGCAGATTAGTTAATGAATTTGTTTCCAGCAAACCTAAGAAAATTTCCCTTCGGAGAGCGTTGATTGACAGCAGCTCTCAGAATGTCATCTCTGAAAAATTACCAGAAGCAGTTTGAGGGTCGTGAGACGTTGTTCAACAGGTTTGCTTTCAGTGAACAGTAAACCTAATGCATGGTCTCAGTTTCTCATATCAAGCCTTTCCATTTTCAGGACTGCTTTTGTTGACTAATGTAACCAGTCAAGAGAAAATAATACTGTTGAAGGGGGTTAAGTTTTCTTTTAAAAGTGGGGTGTATCTTGTGAGGAGGTAGAAACCCATGACCCAATATCAAGTTGACAGTGGTGAGTGACAGAAAAGCAGACAAAATATATAGTTAATTCACATGTAGGGTAAACGATTAGTAAGTACTTAAAGAGGGACTTATGATTTAAAGTTATTTAATAGAGACATTAACTTGGAAAGTCTTTGGATCACACTGTTGTAAGTGTTTTTACAGGTATTTCAAAAACTGTATTTGTAGTCCCAATTATTGGACTGTGACAGAAAGTTGTAACAGACTCATTATGCATTGAAGATACTGCCTTTTAAATCTATAATGAAAACTACTTTTGCACGACAAGTGCATTTCATCTACTGATCTTAGTTGAGTCTGAACAGAAGTGTTGAAATGTAAAATAGTGTTTAGATCAAATATAAAATGCATATGCCAGTTGACAGAAAAATTCCAGTTTAGTGCTGAAAATAAGAAAAGGTGTTTATAAAGGAAGTAGAGAGGTTCCATATGGTCTGTGAACATAATCTGGCTCTTGGAGAATTCTCTTCCTCTGTGAAATATTTGTCTTTCTCTTTGGAAAGAAGCTTTAATAGCGTTAACATCATTAAAGCTTGTAGTTGTTAAAAGATTTTTAGAAATAAATTTGCCTACATAAAACAATTATAAAAGAATATAAACTCTCCTAATGCATTTTTAACTGTAAAAAATTTAACTCTGATATATTTAGTAATTCTTGACATGTGGCTACCACTAGACAAATAACTTTTTTTTTTCCTTTGGCTCACTTATTTTGGAGGTAAAAATCAGCTCAAGTACATTTCCCACTACTCTTCTTAGAAAACAGTCTATTGTACTAGTTCTCATAGGTTTTCTAAATGAGCTGTCATGCCTCCCATATGCTGGAGGACAAGAAAATCCGAATGGCTTTGATTTTAAAAGGAACAGTTCTATCCTAAAAGACCAAAACTATGTGAATGTGGTGATGTGCCTCCCTTACAGGATATGCTGACCAACCTTGCAGTTCTTACTGCACTCCTCCCTAGTGGAGCTGCTGGACATGGTTTTTGAAGTAGGCTACTCAGTGGTCTTGTTTGTTAAGATTATTTATTTTAGTGGATAAAGAAAACCAAACCAAATATATTTGTTAGAAGCGTTTTGCTACAATTGTTGATAGTATTCCTTTCTAACTGTGACTTAAGAACAGATGGCCATATCTTCAAGTAACCAGGTTTTAAACTTAGAGAAGTCTGGTAATTCAGCTGTAGTGCATAATGCTGTATTTTAGATGCTGTGTATTATCACTAGTTGTCTAGAATATTATCTCTTCTGTGTAACACCAGTGCAGAATGTTACTGCTGCTGAAGTTCACACTAGGTTTTAGCTGTTCTGTGTGTGTGCGCATGTGTATGTTTTAAGTGGGGTAGGAGGTACAGGTGGATGGCTGGTTATTAACACAGTGTATTACAAAAACATTAGAAAATAGAGAAAATGCAAGCACATCACTGTTGTTGCAGTATACTTCCATTTAGTCTTTTTCTCCAATCCTTTTTTTTATATTATTGCAATCATACATATAATTTTATATGCTCCTTTTTCTCCATTTAACATTATATTAGGAGTACGTTTACCTGTTGCTAAAATACTAACATTTTAATGGCTGTGTCAGAATGCATGTATGTCATGTACTTAACCATTTCTCTCTTGATCAACATTTAAGTTATTTTCTATTTTTGCTGTTATGAATAACACTGTAACAGCTCTGTGATATAGCTTATTCCATCTTTGAATTTTTTCTGAGGATAAATTCTTACCCATAGACTTCTAGGTTGTTTTTTTTTTTATATAAGTTACTTTTACATATTTAAATATAGCCACTACAAAAAACCCACACCGCAATCCCTCCATTAACATGTTCTTGGTTACAGTTATGCAAAATGAATAAAATCTTCTGCCTGGATTAGGAAAGCTTCCAGAATATCTTTTGTAAACCTTGTTTCCCTTTCATTTACCCTGTCTTTGCCTAAGTCATGTGTTTTATATGATTGGCTGCATTTAAACAGATGAACTCATAACATTCTTTGCTTTTTTATTGCCATGTTGTGTTTGTGCAGGAAATAAGTTTTTTATTCATTTGTGTGGTATAGGCCTGATATCAGATATTCAGTGGAATATACTGACATTTGAAGGACCCTCTTAAATAGAGTTCATGTATTTAAATAATATGTAAGATTTATTCATATTTATATAATAAACAAAAATCACATGTGTATTTAAGTGCTTTGTTAGTTGCTGATAATTTATGTAGTTTTCTTGGAGTCTTAAGTCTCACAAAACATCTTATTTTTGTGCATCCACACATGCCAATAAGTGACTCATGGTGCCTTTCCCAAGCCTTGTATGAACAGGACTGGGGTAAGGGCTGTTTTTTTTTTCCTTATCATGGGTACTTAGAAAAAGCTTTATCAAGAAAATTCCATGTTTCTCAGGCAAAAAAGTATGAATCAAAGTAGAGTTTAAAGCTGTCATGTTAGATAAGTGGTATATACCTATTTTGGCACTAAATGTATACCTGGTGGAAAAATTTATTATTTTAAATGGAATTAGATTTTCGTTCATTATGGGTGGTTTACTTACTAGCCATCTATTCATAGGTGCTTGATAAATTTCTACAGTAGTATTAGCCATGCACCCTTACTTTTCCACAGTCCTCATCATCTGGCACTTACGTCCCTGGCAGTGTCACTGTCACTGAGAAACATCAGGAGCACATTGTTTTGCTACAGAATCATATTTTCATTCCTTCTTTTTTATTTGAGTACAGTTGATACACAGTAGTACATCAGTTTCAGGTGTAGGACATAGTGATCGGACACAACTGTACG